TTAAAAAGTCCAACCCCAGTCGGACGGGTCTGGCAATGACTGATGAACCTGAAAAGCAATTCCAATAACTAAGCAGGTCAAAAGGGTTTGGGGAACACAAAAAGAAGGTTTTGCATAGCTTTAAAAACAAGACGTGACTTGTGGATGGATCTTGCAAAAATATATTCGATTTTCTTGATGAAAAGGCGTTTTCTGCATTCACTGACGTCTTTTTCTTACGATGATCTGTCGTACATTTTCATGACAAATAAAGCAATGTTAGGTTGCTTATTACCTTGCTGGTATTTAACTGATAAATAATTCTAGAGGCAAAACATTGACCTCGTCGCTTGTGTTAACTTAAGTAGGTACAATTACCTTCAATTAGTACACTCTACATCCATACTGTTTCATCATTTAGATTGATTGTGCCAATACATTTAGTAACAGAGTTTACATAAAATTCATTCAGTGTCTCTTCTTCTTCTTCGTCTTTAACATCATGAATTTGTTTCTTTTCCTCCTTGGATTTCTTACAGACTGTGCAATAAAGTGATTTTTTTGTTATACACTTACCACAGGTCTTTCCATATGCGACCGAAAAACCCTGATATTCAATGCCCTAATGTAGTAAAATCATAAAGTAAGGAATTGGATAAAATTGCGTAAGTGTCTGGATTTTTAATTTAAGATTGAGAATTGTAGAATCCTTGTATACTTGTCGGTGCAATCAGAACTAATAAAGAACCTTTTACCAATTCCCAACAATAAGTATCTTTGAAGAAAGATACATCTCTAGATTGTATCGATTAAATAACGCAATCAAGTAAGGTACATATGTATAAAAATAATAGATTTGGGATATTGATTTGTCAATAAAAGTGGACGATTTAGGATTTTTGCGAATTATCTTTTGAAAAGTTCCTATACATGAATGTAAATCGTGAAAACTAGACAAGCGACTTGTGTAGGTGGTAAATTTAAACACGCGACGTAAACAAAATTAAAAACAAACGCCCACATAAGACCTTTAAAAACGTTGAGCTCCCAAATTACATGTCCAATACCATAATTACATGTCCAATATAATTACAAGTCACTAGTGCCACAATCTTTTGACCACATTTCTCCTATAGGTAGTAGAATTATCATTTTTTCACGCAGATGATCAAATGACTAGGAACATATTGAAAAGATACAAAAGACCGCTGGCCCTGCCAAATTCCAGGGTTTTATTGGACAAAGAAATTTTGTAGTTGGCAAGATTAAAAATTTCAGGTTTCATGTAGAATGTAGTAAATATTTCATACATATTCTGATAAATTTCAACATAATTTAGGGGTATTGGTGTGGACCACCGACCACTTACAAAATGCCCTTCACCTCTCATAGTGGGGAAAGTCTAATAATATCTACATTGCCAACATTTAAAGCTTGAAGTATATACTAAAATTAAAAGAACATTTTGGAATTATATCATTTCCGGTGGAATATCAGTCAAGTTTATTGTAGGTAAATATAATTTCACTTAAGAGACATTTATTCAAATTTAAAATATAATCATTTATTCTTTTTTCTGTGCAGCGATGTCCCATGCTCCAATTTGATATCGCAACCAAATCACAAATAAATCCTTTCCCATTTGAAGCCAGCTCCAAATGGGAACTAGCTTAGAGCCCTCGATTTCGGTCCAATTAACAGCCACTTCGGTCACTGGAATGTGTAATTTCTTAGCAATAAGCAATAATTCAGCATCAAATGCCCTAACGAATAAGGTATTACTCACGATGGCAAAAAGATCTTAAATCAATACCATCTTTCGACGTGTAGGCTATCAAAACACATCACGGCAGCTTTTCTTGTGAACAGCTTGAAACCACACTGAGTGTCTTTAATATCACGTACAGTAAACATCCACACAAATGTATGAAAACCATGCATTAATATTGTACGGAAGAGACTTCTTTGAGCTACAGCGTCACTTTGTAAATGCGCCCTGGACCCCACGACTATACAGGTTTTGCTAGCTAATACTTCAGGTTGTTGCAAGTAATCTCCTAGAGAAAAATGTAACTCTTGCACCCATATTATAAGACCCACCTGTAAGTTCATTCTTTAAGCTTAGCTCCAACTTCGACAAATCCATAAATTTAGTAGCCCCATCCGCATCTGCAAATAAGAGCAGAGCTCCTCTTGCACTTAACATTCCCTACAAATGACCAAATGTCTTATGTTTGAATCAACCACCGACCAATTACCAGTCTAACAGCCCCTCCTTTACCTCGATTTGTCTCCAGTTCGAGTATTCTGAATTTCTCTACCCCTAACTGTTTGCAATATTTTTTTGCAACTAATACTGTATTATCTACGCTACCATCACTAACAACAATTATCTCATACTTAAAACGACCGTCTTTCGCCCGGTCTTCCAAAAACGCTACACACTCATCCAACATTGGCGACACTAAAAACAGTTTTCAAGAGAAGTCGATTGCGAAGGACCTTACATCGAACTTCTTCATTATACGCTGGAATAATTACGCTTAAATGTATACTAGAATTATCGTAAATAGATGGGAATTCGACGAATTTTCCGCTATTAGGATCCATAAAGTATTTTTCTTTTCTACTTCGCATTATAATGGGGTAGCGGCTAGATATTGCAATTAGTATTGCACAGACCTAAAAATTTGATTATTATTTTATAAATAAGGGAGTTCCTAAATGCGCCCCTAACAGCAACGTGTCACAATAACAACCACTCACCGCCAAAAAAACAGAAACTAGAGCTGCGGAGCCATAAAACAATACACTACTAAATTGTATATCTAATTCCATAATGGAATATTTCAATTAACCTTCCAATTAATAAATTAATAGGATAAATGGAAGAAAGAGGCAATTCGTGTCGCAAATTTATTAACCTACATAACCTAAAATATCAACACTTCAACAACAACCAATCAAAGAACTTCACGACGTTGACAGTAAACCATAGAATAGATGACTGTACTGAACTCTTCAGTTATCAAAATTTCTGATTTATACAGGGTAATCCGAATTTCTAGTTCAAAAAGCTGACCCATCATAGAGAGCAAACTTTAAGCATTGGGTTTGCAGTATCGATAATAATGATCTCTTAAAAACCAGAAATGCAATACAAGGAAACTACTAAGAAAATCAGTGACACCAAAAAAGATTCACAAAAGTTGCATACCACAGCTCTCATTCGAACCATGATTCTTCTTGCTCATAGTCAAGTACCTACTGAGCTATAACAAGCTAGCCTGTTTGTATTTTTGTGCTTGTCGTAATACAAATATCACAAAATTAATTTAAAAACCATAATTTCATTTGGGATTTAAAGCGGTACTTTTTAACTCCCGAGGATACTGGCTGGCGTAACGCACAATGCAAAGGCTCCCTACATTTAAGCTCTATCTTTTGCTTGATATTCTTAAATTGCTACTCTAACTCTAACCTTTGGTGCATCAGCGGGAAGAAGCCGGCCCGTGTGGCGCAGTTCAATTAAAGCTGAACTGTGTTGCTAAGGGTCCCTGGTTCGAATCCGGGTTCGAGCATGGATATTTGTAAATGTATAGTGGGTTGAGTTGGTAGAGCAGCCTTGTCTGAAACCCCGCCTACTCAAAAATAAAGGCAAAATAAAATAAAATAAAAATAAATAAGAATAACATTCTAACCTACGCCTTGGTTACTGTCACATGAAAGCCTTAGCTTACGCCACTGACATAACTGTAACCAATAAGGTTACCGATTTCATTCTTCCCTCCAAATAAATTGACAAAAATAGCTAAAAACAATATTGTATAGCGTGCGTAGGTCAGATCCGATTCCCAAAGGAAAATATCAGAAGGAAAGTCTACAAGTTTTGTCCTCTCTGTACATACTTCAACAGTAGATGTTGATGAAAGCATTCCGGCAACGTTGCATTTTTACTTTGGAGAAATTGATAACCCTACTTTTAGCTGTTTCCCTCTTTTTGTGTGTGTGTTTATGTGCTTGTTTTGATACACTACAATTAAGCGAATGCAATGAATACCATTAATATAAGAGGTATACCCGTTACATTCCCATTTGAGCCGTATGAACTGCAAAAACACTACATGGAAAAAGTAATTGAATGTCTTCAAAATGAAACCAATGCAGTTCTGGAATCTCCTACGGGAACCGGTAAAACGCTGTCATTACTCTGTGCATCTCTGGCTTGGCTCAGCATTAGGAAGGCACAGTTTCAAGCTGAACGATTTGGCACATTTAATAATGATGCTGGCACAGAATTCGTGCGCGCTTTAAAAGAATCAATAGACAGTAAACTTGGCTCCAGTGGTAGACAGTTTTTAAGAGTACCCACGATAATATACGCCTCACGTACGCATTCTCAATTGTCCCAAGCAATGAACGAAATGAAACGGACTGCGTATTCTCATATGAAAGCGACAGTTGTGGCCTCACGCGAGCAGTTGTGTATTAACCCAGATGTGGTTCGTGAAGAAGACTTTATTGCTAAGGTACTTTTCTAATTTACACACTTTGGGGCTACTTAACTACACTTTTAGAGGCACCTCTGTAGGTCGAAGATACATGGAAAATGCTGTCACTTCTATAATAATGTTGACAGGGTCGCAAACAGTCCATTTATTTCTGAACTGAACGTTGTTGATATTGAGGATATCATCACTCATGGTAAAGCGCAACGATTCTGTCCCTATTATATGGTAAAGGAAATGACGAAACAGGCGGATATCATTTTTATGCCTTATAATTATTTATTGGATAGCCGTACTAGGAAGACTGTCGGTTAGTACTCACTCCCTGGTTCAAGACACTTTCTTAACAAACTTTGTTTAGGCGTTGAGCTATCAAATAATATAATTATCCTCGATGAAGCACACAACATCAATAAAATCTGCGAAGACTCCGCATCATTAGTGCTTAGCTCCGCAGATATTACTCTGTGCATTGCGGAAGTGACGGATGTCATGACTGCAATGGCGAGTAATTTGGACTTTGGAGACAATCCTGCTGATTTCACGCCCGATGAGTTGTGTACTCTTAAACAAGCTCTGCTTGATTTTGAGAAGGCAATCGACAGCGTGAAAATTGTTCATGGGAGTGACTCTTCGAGCTCTACTTTTGATGGCGACTATATTTTTGAGATTCTAAAAAAAGGAGGGGTAAGTTAATCACGAGGTTAATCATTAATGTAACTCACTCAACTATAGTTACATATCACTCTGTGACTACTTTGTAATTTGTGAAGTTTGGTTGATGAAATTTAAGATTAACTTATGTGCAGACCATGTTGGTCACAAAATCAGACCTTCCCGGAATAGCACCAATGGTCCAGGATTACCTCGAGGATTACACTTAATTAATTGCGTTGGAATGGGAAACCTTTAAACACCAAAAAGTTTGTTAACGAAAAACGACCTTTTTTTTGAGGGCAAAAAAATGTTGCGCCCTATTTTAACAGGCCACCTTCGCTCTCGAAACGCTCTCTTCTTAATAATAATAATAATAATATGATATATTGTGCTACTGTGTGTTTACACTTACACTTGTCGTACATAATTCTAAACTAACACAAAAACATTTGGGTTTACATTCATAGAATAAAAAGAAACTAAAGACATTTACAGTTATTCACAAACTCATCAATCGTATAAAAAGCGTTCGACAATAAAAAAAGATTATAGTATCGGCCCCAACATACGCCACAAAGGCGCCAATTTACACATATATATTTAAATATCTCCATAATTCCAAGTTATCAAATAAATGTCAGCTTTTATTATGAATTTTAGGACTGGAGATTGGTTTCTACAAAAAATTATATTAATTCATAATTGCATATTTTTAACAGTCCTTTGTTTATAAATAAAAATTGGACATCTGTAATTTTCTGTGTCATTGGTTTTCGTATGCGTTATGGCGAGTAATTAAAAAGCTAATTCATTATCGGTCAAAGAAGAAATAAAACACCTATACAGAAAGAATTAGGAGAAAATCAACTTTAATTGCAAGCGAACGTTTTTTGGATCGACCAATTAAAAGTCAGAGTGGCCGATTTGAATAGTTAAATTTTTCCCTTTCAAAAGTTAAAAGTGTCGGCAACATTTTAAATTGTTTTTTTGAATAAATGCGTAATAGCATTGTTTAAATACTACTTAAACAATGGTAATAGATAGTATTGTCATTGTTTAAAAGTATTTAAACAATGGTATTGTGCAGTCGAGTTATTTGACACCAGACAATAATCGCAGGCCGTTCAATGCCCCCGGAATTACCTCGAGTACACCAATCTCAAAAAGTCTTGAAAACGTCAATGGAAGCCATTCTTTTAGACCCGATTTTCCGTTATCCGTTAATTAATTTCAAAGGATTGCATGAAAACCATCGTTCCCAGAAATCATTCTATATGAGGTACTGTATACCTTCATACGCAGTATTAATATAAGCGATATGCGAACTTACTCATTTTACTGACTGCTGTACTAATGCATTAAACATTGTCTTTTCAGATTGACTATGAAAACTGTATGCTTTTATCGAGCTTAATAGACAAGATTATACAATTTCTGTCTGTAACTCCAAATGACGGCCCCTTTCAAAGGAAAGGAAACGGTCTGGAAGCATTTAATTTTCTATTGACTTTAGTATACGCGCATAATTTGCCCGACATTAAAGAAAAAATTAAAAAGTGTTACACGGTAATCACGATCATCCAACTTGTAAAACTTTTCGATCGCAATCATTTCAGGTGTATATTGAAGAAGAGCAGCCTCAGAAAAACGTTGGAAACAATTGGCTATCAAAGGCAACTTCAAGTTATAAAAATGGCGGCAGAAGCTTGAATTTCTGGTGTTTCAGTCCAGGTTTTGGGTACGGCTTCCCATTGTAACAGTTATGCGAAGTAAAGTTCTTTTAGAATGGGAATGCTTTTAGGAAGAGGAGTGAGAAATGTTATATTGACCAGTGGCACCCTTGCTCCGTTAAAGCCTTTTATTTCTGAATTGGAAATGCCGGTCGCAGTTACCTTGGAGAATCCTCATATCATCAAACATGACCAGGTTGTCGTAACAGTTTTGGAAAAAGGACCTGATGGGATTGAATTAAATAGCAGTTTTAGAAATCGGTACGTAACAAGAGATTCTTGGTTTATATCATATATGCTCTGTTTTAGTGACAACCCAGATTATATATCATCACTTGGCCGTACCATCCTCAATTTAACCAGAATGATTCCCAATGGAATGCTAATTTTTTTCCCTTCGTATCCGATTATGCAAAAATGTACAGAGCATTGGCAAGAAAATGGAATATGGAGCAGCATCTATGCCGTAAAGGTAAACAGTTTTGGTTTACAGTAGAGTCCCCAAAATTTTTTTCTAGGCAATATATGTTGAGCCCCGAAGGAAAGAAGCATTTACGACTGCTATGACAGAGTATTATGCTCGTGTAGCAGATCCTAATCACAAGGGTGCGATTTTCTTGGGTGTCTGTAGAGGAAAAATTTCGGAAGGTCTCGATTTTGCTGATAAAAATGGACGTGCTGTTCTAATAATCGGGTTGCCTTTCTCTCCATTAAAGGACCCCAAAGTCATTCTGAAGAGAAAATATTTAAATGACTGTAGGGTACTAAATAAAGAGGTAAGTTTGGCAGTTAATCAACCAATTAGGTATACTTTCTTGGTTTTATGTAGATGATCAGTGGTGACGAGTGGTACAGCTTGGAAGCCTCTCGTGCTGTTAACCAAGCTATTGGGCGTGTCATCAGACATCGTCATGATTACGGAGCAATCATTTTACTGGATTCTCGATTTGCCGGCTTTAAAATGAAAAACCAAATGTCCCAGTGGTTGAGGGATCACATTAAAGTGGCTAAGCATTTTGGAGAGGTTATTAGATGTTTGCGGGAGTTTTACCGTAATGCTGAGAAGAATGTATGTCTGCAAGTGCATTGTCTAGACTCTAGTTTATAATCAAACATTTTAGTTACCTTCAGAAAAACCTGCCCCCTCTTCTCAGTTGGAGCCCTCCAAATCATTCAGCGATCTCGAAAGCATTACCACTAAACCACGTGGCTATTTTAACTTTAACTCGATGAATGTGCCCCAATCCTCTCATTCTGCCAATAATGCTAATGGTCTGGTCACCATTCATAGTCGAAGCACCACAACAAATAGCAACACAAAAAGAAGACGCATAGCAATTTCTAATAATCCAACGTCCACTAATTCGGATCAGGGAATGACAGACAACAAAGAATATATGACCATGGTATGCCTTACGTTAATAATATTCTGCATTTACTGTTACTTGTGGTGAATGGCAATTTCAGGTGAGGAGAAATTTGAACCCTACTCAGTGTGATATGTTCATTCGTGCATTAACTTTTTATAAAGAACAAGATGATTTTGACGGTTTTACCAATAAGTTAAATGATATTTTTCTCGCTCAGTACAATATAAGGTATATAATTCAAGGATTACAACCGTATATTAGAGACAAACACAAAGAGCAGTTTGAGAAATACTGGGAGAAGATGAGATAACTTGATGTTTTAGGTTAAGAATGCTATTACAATTTTACATATTTTGTGATTTTTACACTACTTTTGTTCAATATAAAATGATCCTTTATGTCCGTGCTGAAGTTTGAATTACCATGCGTTCCAGCTCAAGGGAGTCCTTTCCTCACTGAATTTTGTGTTCTCGATGTTTGTGTCTCCAAGCTTTGTTCCTACCAATGTGGTTTGAAACGCAATTGAGAATGTGCCTAATGATTGGGTTATTTCCTTCCGTGCTCTTATCGCGTAGGTACTCGCAACTGTATCCTGTGCGAGTAGATCCCAAAGAGCCTGTTCTCTCTCAACACAATGGTATAGGTACCCTACCACTATCATGACCACTACAACTTCAGACATTCAAATGTTGTACTTTAGTAGTGGTAAGTTTCAAGTAAATTTCACTGAGCTTTGTTTGCACTTGGAAGGAAATCAAACTTGATGGCGTGTGCTATAAAATTTTATTTACCATTGCATCTAAGATCAAAAATACCAGCTGTCATTGAAATTACTAATTACAATTACATATAACTATTTTTTAAACTAAGATCTGTGTAACCAATCAGCTCAATGACAGTTGGACAAACATATAGCATATGGCCCCACACTACAATTCACATGTCTCCGCCTTTGGTGTATAATAATAGTCCTCAGATTCTTACGTGGTTACGCCACTGACAGTTTTTTAAGTCGGTATAGCAGACCGCTTTAATTCAAATGCGCCAATCAGAAAACTTACGAACTCCTAACCTCAATTTTATTTGTTTTAATACCTATTCATTGGTTTTAATATTTAATTTTATAGATTTCAGAAATGTTAGCTAAACATGTAAGTATTCTTTATCATGTTTTAATTAGTAGATCCCACAATACTACACCATGAGTTATAATTTTAATTTTCGTAGGTTATAAGTTGCGTTTGCAAAAAACCCTCATTACAAACAAATTTCTTCAATATCTTGCGGAATTCGAGTAGCACATCGCAACAACAAGAACCAGCAAGAGTAGAGAAAAGTAAAAAAAGTTTTTACCAGTATAAGTTACTTACAAACTATTTTCAGCGATTAATAACGTCCAATTGCTCGGACGAGTAGGTGCAGATCCCCAGAGAAAAGGAAGTGATGATCATCCAGTTGTAGTGTTCTCATTAGCAACCCATTCAAATTATAGGTACGAAACTGGCGAGTTTTTACAGCGTACCGAGTGGCATCGAGTTATTTGTTTTAAACCCGGTCTACGTGAGACGATAATGAATTTTATGAAAAAAGGCCAACGAGTACACGTTAGTGGCAAGATAACTTACGGCGAAGTGAAAGGGGACGAAGGACAAACTAGGACAACCACATCGATACAGGCAGAAGATGTTATATTCTTTCATTCATAAAATGTGTTTTCAATGTACATTTAATAAGTAAAGTTTTACAAATTAAATATGTATATTTTAATTAAACACGCTTAAGTATATCCACAGTTATATGTAAATATATCTGTGCTCGTAGCCAAGTGGGGCTGAGCCTCACTTATAACGTGTTCTTGCTCTCACTGGAAATTATGGATAATGGTTTCTTTACATGCTAGGGTTGCATCCTTGCATCCGTCCGGATTTGTCCTAGTTTAGTCCGGGCGGGTTTTCAATGGTACTCCGGGTTTTGAGGTACTGAGTGGGTGAATTAAAAATCTTTCTGTCAAAATTTAAACCAACAAGATAAGCTTTCAAGCGCAAATCAGTTTTGGTAACAATTTTTTTATTATACCTGAATCACAATCTCTGTTTAAAACACTCAAATGCGTGCGAAAAAAGGCCTTCAAAACACACGTGCTTTAAAGTTGCTAGGTAATGATACTTCAAGTATGACTTTTGAAACTGTCATCTGGGGTTGAAATAAAAAATCCTCTTAGGTCGCTTTCTGTAAATGCAGAACATTGCTTTGGCTTGTACCTATCCTTTGGTTGAAGCTTCCACAAACGCGCTCAATTTAGGGTATGCTTCCATATCTGTTCCACTTTTTAGTCGCAGCAATAAGTGAAGTTTTGAATAAATGCACCAAAAGATAGAAGATTTAAATACCTTTGACATTTCCTTCATATATGCCAGCATTATCGATGCATTTCAGACTTTATTCGTAAGTAACTTCCTATTCATCCATGGAAACAACTTTTCATATGCTTGATAATAGGCTTTACTGGATTTGGATTTTACACCTACCAACGTTTGTTTAGATTGTACAACAAGCGATTTAATGGACGGTGTATTCTGTTTTTCAACGAACAAGCGATTTAATGGTCGGTGTATTCTGTATTTCAACGGAAATGTTTTATTCACAAAGACGATGATTTTTATAAGCAAACGTCAAGTGACATTTCCATGGCAATCGTGAAATTACGAAAACCCATCCCACTTAATTAGACAATGTATTGGAGTATAACGTCAATATGATTTCGTTGTATTTCCTATTCTTAAATTATACTGCAGGTACCTATAATAAA